GGCTAAGGCTCCACTCCTGCTGATGAAGCCAAGCTCCAGCACTATAAACAGGAACTAATTATCCTGGACTCACAGAGTTGTGCTGGATGTATATGAAAGTTACACAGCACATCCCAATGTCCCATTTAGAAGGCTACCCAGGAGAATACCAGCATGGAAAAGACTGCAGCTGTATGGGCTGCGATGAAAGTGTCGCTTCCTGCAGAACATCACTGCAGCAACAGTGGGGGGTTTTTGTTCCAGGAGAAACACCTTGGAAACTGTTAAAGTTTCTTCTATGTTCTCCCTTATGAAAGAGGAAGAGACTTAATTAATTTTAAAGTTGGCACTGACTAATATCCCAATTAACAACACTGAAATCCCTCATGGTACTGTTCTGTGTATGTTTCCTAAATAATACTGGAACGTGCCAGAAAGAACTAAGATAATATTGATAGTGTCCAAAATATGCTAAATAAGCAGCTTCAAGCTTGCTTAGAAATTGCTGATAAATAAGCAAGCTTAACAGAAAAAACTGCTTAAAAGACTTAGGAACTACTTAACAGAAAATCTATTGGAATTCACACTTACCAAATGACAGCCTAAAATCAAGAGAAAAAGGGAAGATGATTTTGTTTAACACATTAAGACAAAGTTGCCTTTTCTCTATTTCACACAACAATATAACTCTACAGAAAAACACAACACTATAACCACATTCAAATGCTTTTATAACAAGACTCTTTGGATTCTTGGTCCTGCAAGCTCAGCTCTGTTGCAAAATGGGAAACAATGATATTTCCAGGTTAATGATAAATTTTTCTCAGCTGAAACCTGGTACCAAACTTCCATCATCAGACTAAATAAAATATCAACCAGCTGACTTGTATGTGGTTTCTGTAGGAAAAAGAGTCACTCTGCAAGTCTGATTCATATCCTATATGTATTTGTACATTAGATTCATACATTTCAAACATTCACACACTTTTAGATAAGAACACAGTAGTGCTATCAGAAACATCTAAATTCCTCTTAAAATGATTTAGAAATGTCAGTGCTGAGCAATAGATGTGCTCTTGTGTGCAGAGGAGTAAAAACACATATTTGAACCCAAGATTCTCCAGTTCCTGAGCTGTTATCTCCAAGAGAGTAAACCTCTAGAGTACATCTCCACATGACACATTTATCTAAAGTGGCTGCACACATATAATGATGGCTTTTGTTTAGTGATCATGGTCATTTTGAGTTTGTTTAAATACTGCAGCCAAATGCTTATAAACTAATCCCAGAACATTTTGAAATGCTTCAAAGCTTTTAGCGGGGGAACCTCTTGCATAGGCTTTGCAGATGAAGCTGACCACAGTTCACTGGAACCAGCCAGCTCAGATAAGTAAGATGAAAGCAGACATTTCCTGAAAATATCTTGAAAGCTTTCCATTAGTCTGTGCCAGGGGTATACACTAAAAACAGAAAGTGCCCATGCTTGTATAGCAACCAATCCTCCCACTGCTTTCTCCATTCTTTCTTGAACTACTGTATTTATATCTATTTATCTGCTTCATTTGGTATCTTGCAAAGTTCTTTGGCAGAAAAAGATGCAACTTCTGCATTCCAGTTTACAATACATTATAAAGCAGCTATTACTACAACAAAAAATTCTATTTAACACACTAAACAGTCTGACAGGAAGAAACCAAAATCAACCAATGCCAAAATTACTACAGATTACAAATAAGTCAGAAATTTGATGTACAGGTAATTTTTAAGAGTCACCCACTCCACGACAGGCACGAATACCACTGTTTGACATACAGCTCTGGCTGTCAAAGTGTGCTCTAACAAGGTCCATTCAGCATTGCTGAATGTGCTCTATTCATACGAGTGCCTCAGGCTAGATTTTCAATAAAGGCAGAGACTGGCTGTGTTCATATTTTATACAATAATTTGATTGAATAAAAACAACTGTTCACTAGGAACATGAAATACTCCACTATTGAAATTGCCAACATTTTATACTTTGAGACATGTCACACTGTCCAGTTCCAGGCACTTCATTTCATTGAATGAGAAGCCCAGGTTTCTTTCGTAGTCAGTGGACTCAAGGGCACATAAGTACTTTCAGCAGCTTTTCAAGGACCTGCAGACTATGAAGTGCACCTTTAATTTAAGCACAAAATTAGGCATTAAAATTTAAGCACCAAATTTAAGCACCAAAATTAGGCATTAATGATATCCATCATGGTGTATCCTCCAAAGAGTTAATATGCACACTCAAAGAGAGAAGAGCACGATTGTACCATAATACACTAGAATTCAATACAGCCATAATGCTAACAGTTATTCTGTCCAGTACCTTACCACAAAAAGGGTTGGGGCACTGTGAAGTTAAGAACACCAGCACACACTAGCCATACATGTTTGAGAAGGAAGTGGTGAGCCACAACACTGATGCACAAAATCGGATGCAAGCAAAGTCCAACAGTTGCTACTTGAAACAAAACAACCTTGCCCCCTTTAATACAAAACAAAAAATACTTGAAGTCTTAGATTTTTTTGAGGTATACCTTGAAACCCATGCTCACTCTGCCTTCTTGCAATCTCTGCAGCCTGGGATACCTGTAGTATGGTGTGGCACCCACCTGGGAAGAGCAAGCATTACCCTCTACCAGGGTGCTGCTTATGCAGCCTTACTGGTTAGTGTTAGCAGTAAAATAGTTGTGGAATCAACAGAAGTATGATTGATATATCATACCTATGTCTGAAACCAGGTCAAGACCTGTAAATAAATGTGAAAGCGTGGCTGAAGCTACTTAAGACCCCCTCTGACTCAGGCCCACACAACTCTATGATCTAAATAATAGTAGATGTGCTACAATGTCCACAATGTCTCAGTACAACTAAGGGAGAAGACTTAAATAGGGTGTAATTCTTTTAATGAAAATTATTAGTAATATATGACATGTTCCTTGGCAGACAGCAGAAAGTGAGAAAGGGCTTGAGTGAGGACCTGTGAGGGGTTGTCCACATCCTCAGTAGCCTTTCCCTGCACAGTCCTGGCTTCCACTAAATACTCAAGCTTGATTAGAATTTCCAAATAATTAAATGTTCTGCTTTAATCTTTCTAGAAATAATGTAAGATGCATCATCTTATTAGAGGAATTTTAACACTCATTCTATCCCACCTACATTGTTCCACATTCTCCCCTAAGAGGCAGCTGAGAGAAGTTGTCAAAAATCTTAAGATCATGTGCTTACAAGAACCTTAGAATAAGTAGAAATCAGCAGCGGTTTTATTTATGATTTGACTAATATTATAAATACAATCTTATCTTTTAATGATCAAATGTAATTAATTAGGGATGTAACTTTAGTAAGCAAAGGTAAAAAGAGACTTGGTTGTCTGCTTATACAGACTGCTACCAGGACTGCCTACTGCTTGTATAACATTTTAAAGCAGCTGTAAAACAATCATTACTTATGTAAACATTTACAGCTCATCATATGCAGAGCCCAGCTACATATTTTAACTTCTGATCAAAAAGAGACACCATTTCCTTAGCTGTACAGAAACTACTTGAAAAATTCATAAGATCTGTTTCACAAATTACCAATTCAACCATAAGAATATATAGTAAAAATGACAAAAGATTTGTTCTTATAGTTGATAAAAAATTTATGCCAAGGCATTCAAGTAAAGTTACTTTCTGTGTTCTGATTTAATGAATCATTTGAGCGGTATCTGGCTGGGTGACACAGATGTAAGGCTCGCTGAAGCCTGCTCTAATGCCTGCTGGTACCATCTTCCTTGGGACAGCAGAGCCAGAACAATGTGTCAGACTGAAGTAATATCAAGGAAAGTAAGTGCAGTGCTGGGCATGCCACGAGGCTGGCCCACAATACTTCCTGACCTGTGAATGTCTCTAAGTACCTCTCTGTCCTACAGGCTCCAGTGACCCAGGAAGCCCAAAAGAAGCAGCAGCAGCAGCGCAGTCATGAACAGACTCGGAAATAAAGATTTTTGCAATCTCATAATTCAAGCTCAAGATATACAAAGATTGGTTGATGGTTTAACCCTAATGGAAGGCAGAGCCTCACACTGTGAAACCACCAGTGATTTCTTAAACATTTAACATTAGTTCACCTTTTAATACAAATTATCTCTGTTTAACACACTGCAAAGTTCGTGTCTTTAACTTCAGAAAAGTACATGAATTTGCAAAATACTAATTAAGGAACTCACTTCACTTGATGCATATGAGTACAGCTTTTATAGATCATGCTTCTGCATAGAAGTTTACTGAAAGACACTGTAATACAATCAGGCTTCCCATTAGGGAAATCATTGTACAGAATTTAATTGTACAGTAAGTCAAACAAAGCTAAGGAGGACTGTAGGCACTGTGGTGCTTAACCAACAAAGCTAATCCTCATAAAAATAAAATACTGGGTCCCAGTGTTCCTTGGGAGGAATTCTCCTGCTAAGAGATTTCCCCTCTAAAAGAAGCTTGCTAGAATACTTATACATATTTAGAAGCATACATATCTTTATAGAAATAATTTGAGTTTAATCATAAAAGTAAAACCTTTGAAGAAATTAGAAGCAAAATGAGAAATGAAAAGCCTAACAGTTATACCAAATCCAAATAATACAATATACATGTCATTTTATCCTAATGTCAGAGAGGGGAAAAATGCATGTCAGCAGCAAATAGGAGAGGGTGAATTATACTCCTACTTCATCCTGCAAGGCCTGTTCAAAAAAAACCCCTAAAGCTTAGTTTTTCTTGTTTTTTTAACATGAATATGTTAAAAAATATTTTTTTTAACATTGATAACATTTGATGTAAGGGAGACAATTCTGTTATGTCAAGAAAATTTTGCTCATTTGCATGAAAGAAATATTTCTGTTGATTCCACAGTTAGTTCCATGAAATCTTTCTTTTACCTGAAAATTACATCTTGTTCCAAGAGGCTAATAAGACAGTTGCACATAAGAATATTTGACATTTAAGGGTACTTACACAGATAACAAAACAATAGCAATGAGAGTCCATTCAGGCATTCTGTGTATAATATTTCTGTTTGTTAACCTGAAAAATAATTTTTAAAAAGTCAGTACATTTAAAAGTAAAAGTAAGCAGATTTTAACAGCTGAATTTTAAGTCTACCATTAATACACCGAGGTAAAAAGAAGCAATTACAGCTGTATCTGAGCAATTCACCAGCTCTTAAGCTTCTGTCATCCTCTAATGGAGGAACTGCAGAATTTTCAATGTCCCTTTTTTTTGATATGAAAGTGGGATGGGGAAGACTGAACAGAAGCTATTTCTTTTAAATTGCTCACAAATAGTCCTGGCTGCTGTGAGGGCCCAGCTCTCACTCAAACCCCTGGGAAATTCTCCAGAACTGACATGAGTTTCTGAAAAGATGGACCTTCTTACACTTAGTTTCCCTCCTGTTGGCTTCAGATCCAGATTTGCCGTAAAAGCTGATGTGGACACAGACTGAATTTTGTAAGGTGGCAGTGACAATTCTCTGATGAGTCTGTGTCTCAACAATCTGAGTTTTGTTCAATTATGAAAGGAAAAACAGTGTTTTGCACTACATAAAAAGGAATTGGCACATCAAACCAGAACCAAGAGTTGTGGCAAACACTGATTATATTTGTTATTAAAAGGTTCATTTTAGCAATTATTATTTGAAATAGCTAATGGATTTAGCTGCCAACAAAGTTGGTACCTGTTAAACTGAGTAAGAGACTAAACAAAGGCTGAACATCTTGACTCAACACTGATGACAGTGATAAACACTACCAAGAAATGCCTGATGGAATCATCTTGACAGGCAATTCATATGTAACATTCCAGTTAATCTGTTATGATGAGACATAATGAAAGAGACAGCTCCAAGCCACCTGGGGAAACTCTGTCAAATAGAGAAAGCAGCTTTATTTCAATGCTTTACAAGGAGTTATTATTGATTAGAGCACAGGAAGGTGTCATTCTTGTACACAAACTGAGAGATGCAGTTATTTGTGTCAATTAACTCTTATTCAATGTTAGTATTGATTGGCAAGGTCTGAACACTAGTCATTGCCATCAATATGCTATTTCTGAAGGAGGTAGTCAAAAGACACAGATAACCAGCAGGACACAGCAGTATGGATCTGCTGATGTACTACAGCCACTGCACTGGATGAACAGTCAGGCTTCTGCAACTCTCAGTACAACACCTGTCCTAAAACACTTGTGCAGCGGGAAAAAAAAAAAAAAATTCAGAGAGATCAGAGTAAAGCAAGCAACCTACAGGTGTGAAGCCTGAAATAATAAGGAGCAGTGGAAGGGCAGTCACTTTCAAACAAGCTCTGTGTCAACACCAAGGTCTCTGAAGAGCAAAGCTTTCTCAAAACAGGGAACTGCAGGGCCTCTGTAGAAATGGTTCATTAGTTCTTTGTCTTGCCTCTAGCCAAAATTGTTACTTCAGAACAATCCATGAAAGAGGTCACTAGATTTCTGTCCTAAAAATATAATGTGGAAATGTTAAAACTGTACAAAACTTTGTGTGTCTGATTTCAGTTTTGCAGTGAAATCTTTTCTGCTAAAGAGTTTGGCCAAATTCTCCCTCACCCACCTAGAGAAAGAAAACAATATGCAACTTCCCAAAATGGAATGTGCCCACTTTCTTAGCCTGTGTAGGGCATGATACACAAGCTAGGAAAGTTGGATGATCCCAAATAGCTGTGTGGGTTGCTTAGTTGCTGGTTTGTGGGTCTTGTGGTTCCCTCCAGCAAGACACGCGGCAGCCACCCAGCAGGACCCAGGCGGTTTCACACTGTGAGGGAGCCTGACTGAGCACGTGGATCCAGGTGGCAGAAGCTTCCAGGATAGAGGCCTAAAGAGTAAGATGCATAAACATTCCATCTCAAATGACCTCCTCATAACTGACTAGTGCCCAGCCTGCAAAGCAAGGGAACTCCAATAGGGAAATTGTAGGAATCCAGAGTAATTAACAACAGTAAACCCAGCATCTTTGCAAATGCAGCAGCCTCTGCTTCCTACAGCCACTTTCCCAGGTATGGGCATGTACAGCTGCAGTTCAAGTATCTGTCCATTCTGTAAATCTGTAAACTGATTTAATGTCATTAGGATGCAAAGTTGCGACTTCAGGGGATCTCAGCTAGCTGTATTTTCTCAAAACTTGCACTAAGATGAGTGAAGTTTAACTAACCCAGGGCAGCACAGGCAAATACTGAAGCATATATTATTTTTCTTTAGGTTTCAACTCAACCAATTCAACCATAAAAGACAGTTTTCTACCTCCTGGAAAACAGCAACATATTTACATGCTGTAATATCATTTAGTATGATGACAACCAGCAAAAATAAGTTACTCTTTAACTTTAGGCTTCTTTTGAGAGAAGCCTAATTACTTAAGAAAACATCATTAACATCCTGATACTCCCCTATTTCCACACAGAACTTGATCTATGACCAAGTACTACTGATTGACTTGAAACCCAGAATTAAAATTCCACTTAACAAGGGCAATAGGTAAAATAGGTACAAATAAGTGTATATACCAGATAACATATATTCAGGATACATACTTAAAAGCTAAAAGACTGTCTTGGACATATGATAAAACCAAGTTGTAACAAGAAGTCTTGAACACATCTCACATCTGATTCATTGGTAGAGTTCAATGTCAATGATAAGCCCCATAATGGGAATTAAAATACCCACAACCATAAAATACAGATGAATCCTATTTTCAAAATGAAGTATTATGCCTTAAAAAACCCAACCACACATTCAAAATCATTTATCCTCAATTTATATATAAGAAGCTAATTTTCTCTTGATCTTTTAACAAAATACCCTAACACACTCTGGAGAATTATTTGACATCTCAGTTTTCGTAACAAAAGCTTACAGGCACTGAGGGACTTTGTTTGGGAAGAGCTCTAACCATTCTAAAATGTCTCTTGAGATCTCTCTAGTGTGTTTCTTAGCAGTGGTGATTGAATAAATGCTGCCCAAAGGAGGCTGAACTGCAAGTGTTCCTTTAAAAACCAATGGAGCTGAAAATCGTTGTTGCTGAGTTCACCACATGCTCTTTTACCCTTCTTCAGCTAAGCCCTACTACAGCCATGTGTTTTATCTACTACCCTTTTGGGCAAGCTCTTCAGCCTCAAATATCTACAATACAAAAAGCAGGAAAGAGCACGAGCATTTATCAGTGCTTCTCCATTGTCATTAAGCATTAGAACAACATTAAGAAAGAAAGTAATATTTGAATTTCTATACCCTATAAATACAAATACCATTTAAAATTTATGCCAAGTCTCCCTGCCAAAGCATTCAATCCAAAACCTAAGAGACTACTAATATTAAATAAAGTTAAACCTACATACCAAACTGGAGATTCAAGTCTATGCCTTCACCTTAATATCCATGAGCTAGCTCCTGTGTACCAACAGACCCTTCCATATCAGTAATACGAGACAGAAAAAGGGCCCAAAGGTTTTTATTCTTCCCTATTTCCTGTATTTTTATATTATTTTGCTATCAGTGACAACAAAACTCCCTTTATTTTGAGATATATATTATACTAAGGCTTTTAAAATTCTTGTATAGTGCCCAAAATTGTCTTTAACCATCCCCCACCCAGAATCCTGAATTTCTAAGCAGCTTGATCTGGAATCTTCACAGTAAGAGAACCCCAAGAAGTTGCTACCATTATCTTCAACTTACTTCCTAACAAAAATGACACAAAAAATAAACTCACAAAGTGTTATCTAAGAGATCAAAACAGATTAGGGGAGACCTTTAAATTATGATGAACTACTGCTGCACCAGGTATTGAGTTAAAGTCCAAATAAATTTGATTTGGTTCTATTCTGCAAACCCACAAGTGTGTGTGTATATACATACATATACATGTATGTGTTTTAGAAGTCTCTTTTGGTTTCAAGTCTCTGACAACTGACAGCTTTATTTATTTATTCATGCCCCGTTGTCTCTGAATAGCAAAAGTAATTTAAAATAGAGGCTCTGTTTTTGAGAATCTCTGGGCCTTCTTAGATAATCAATCACTAAAAAGTAGTTGGAAACACACCAAATATAGCTTCTCCACTTTAATCAATCCGTAAACTGAAGTGAGTACTAAGTATTTAAACTGCAGAGCAACTAAACTGTTTTAAGACACTAACATCTTACTCAAACAATAGGTATCTATACGCTATATGCAAAAACATTTTTATTGGTTTCAGTGGTGTTGTTAAAATAAAAGGCAAGTCAGAACTTAAAAGACTGCAATCACAGAAACAAATTCACATAGTATCAATGTTTTTATTTAAAAGAAATCATGCATAGAGTTACCAGAAAGAAAGAGAGAATCTTCCACAGTAAGAAATCTTGCAGAGAGACATCTGTGTTTTAGTGGCGTCCCTCCAGACACGGCAGAAATCATAAGAAACTGGGTGCAGCTGGGTTTCTATTCACCAAAGCCCAGATTCCTTATGGCAAATGCTACATGAATGAGTTTTGGAAAACTCATGTAAACCTCATGCAGGTTGAGGACGTGCAAAGGATGTTTCAAGAGTGACAATGTACACACAGCACGCGGTTAGCAATTGCTATTGCTCTTTTTCTGACAATACTTGAGGATGAAGGACACAATCTAGGTCCAGGTTATGAGAGTTGTCTCCCAAAGAAAACCTAAAAAAGTTCAGAGAAGCTACCATTCTGTTTTCCCTCCTTCTTTATCTCACTGTTTCCAAATACTGTCTTTAGTTCTACTGACTGAAGCAGAAGCTTCACCTGTGGTGATGAAAGTGCCCACTAGATCTACTTCCCTTTGAAATCAGGAACAAGACAGATCCAACTGACTGACTCTAGAAGTTAGTGGTAAAAAATATTAATCAGTTTAAAACCATTTAGCCCAGCTGCAGGGAGCTAGAGCAAAAGAAAGGGACAGATCTCAGAAACTCACGCTTAATAGGAGGTGACGAGGTAGCAGAACCTTTAAAAGACTCACCAGCATCCTCCAGAGACCACTGGCCTAGTTTTTAAAAATCTACAAATACTCCTGGTGACCTAGCCACTGTCAGGAGCAGGGAAAGGGATGACTTGTCAGTCCACAGGGAACGCGACATTACCTACATGAACACACAGCAAGAGAAGGGCAAATCTGCAATAGGGCCCTCCTCTCTGTGCCCAAATCACACATCATTCCACAGCACGTTTAGTTCATCAGTTTATAAAAATCTCTAAGTAAAGACCAATACTCACCGGAAAGTTTTGACAAGATTTTTTAGCTCTGTGTAGACATCACCTGAAGCAATGTGAAGAGGGCCCAAAACTGCAGATAATCTAGAAGGCAAAAGACACCAGTCAATATACATTTTCCTCTCTTTCTCATTTCTTCTGAAGTAGGACTTCTACCAAAGCTTATCAAGGTTAGTAAAAAGGAAAATAGATTGACTTCTGTGCAGCAGATCAGGCCTATAGTTTTCATTTCAGATCTCTCTGTGTGCTGTTTGGGCCAACATCTTCACTTCACAACCACTTGTTTTTAAAAATAAGAAGCTCTAGTTCTGTGTGAATGTGAAGATTTAAATATAATTCTACAAACATATACTTACTAGTTTCACCCTTCAGTTCTGAAAAAGTATTTTTACAATTATGAGGATCAGAACTACAGGCCTTATAAATTTTTTGAAGGTTTATATTTACTTGGCTCAAAAATAACAATACAAAAGGAAACTTCTTGTCTGAATGGGGTATTCACGCATAATACACCTGCTAACCTCAGACTCACAGAGATGCAACAGAAATATCAGTCCACTGTGAGCTTGGTAGATGAAATCTAGATGATAGTTACCAGAAAATTTCGAAAGAAAGAAAAGGACAGGTTTTCTCCTTACTTATCTGTGCATAAAAAGGATAGACCACACAAACTGCACAGACTCTTTAACTAGTTGTCAGCATTTCCAAATGATAGAAATAACATTATTTGTTTTTCACATTTAGGATTAAACTTTTGCCTCTATTTACTTGTTAAATAGTTAAAATTCTCTTGTATTTGAATATCCAGTGATTTGCATTTATATGCACATAACACTTACTGCATCAGTATTCTGGAAGACTGCGTGTTTTACAAAAACTGAACACAGGATTCTTATGATGCTGGGCATATTCATTGCTTTATCACAATGAAAATTATCTCTTGATTGTGACAGAACAACTGCATTAGCTCAGGAAATTTAAAACAATCAACATTTACTGATAAGACACTTGGGGGATGGTTTGATTCCATGTTTTGGCCTATCCATACATGGTGAAGGTAGAGAAAAACAGAAAAGGTTTTCTTTTTATTTTGGTGGGGATGGGGGGGTTGGTTGTGAGGTTTTAAGTTAAAAAAAAAAGGCTTCTGCAAAACCTAGTTTGGCTAGGTAACACAATGACAGAAAAGTAAATACCCCTACCAAAAACAACAGAATCATGACCTTCAAACAGTCATTTATCTGCACTGCCTTGACAATGAGAATATTTTCAAGGTCCTCCCAACTTTGACAATTTAATAATTCTAACAGCTACATCAGAAATTTCCTTAATCTCTTCTGTGTGACTCCAAAGCCCTTTTATGTATGTGAAGAAGGTCTGATGTTGGCAAAGTTTTAAGATCCAATTCTGAGGACCTTTAGTGATTGTAGCTAGGGGCATACTGATACCAGCTATCCAAACATGCATTAGAAACTCTCTTTGTAAGACCTATGCTTAAACAATTACCACCATTTGTTTACAAGTAACAGTATGCTTAATGTACAAGACAAATATTTGAACTCCTCTCAATAATTTTCAAGTTTTTCAGTCTAAACTTAAGCAGTTGGCACCTACAGACTGTGCAAACTGGCACTTGCAACTGTACTACAGCTGACTGTTGCAGAAATAATTAAGTCCTTTAGGGCAATAATGGGCTTAAGTTATGACTAGGGCCACCTAGAAAGAGCCAAGCCCATCCTTGGATGTGTTTGTTACTTAAAACAGTGATAAACAAGCATGAACTTCAGACTGACATTCACCAAAATAAAGGGTACTTACGCTTTTCTCAGTTTTTCAAGGACAATTCGCTTCCTAATCTGCATTTGTGCATTTGAATCAACAAGTGGGAAGGTGAGATCTTCCTGTTGATCATCCTGTATTAGACAAGAAACTTTAACAGCTATAACCTAGTGTTTAACTGAAGTCAATACACCAAAAAAGTCACAGACAATCAATAAATATTTAAACACTAAATAACTCTTATCTCTGAAAAAAAAAACAACCCCAAACAACCTTTTTTAATGGGCAGACACTTGCATAATCTGATGCGACATACAGTATGCAGCTAAGGGTATTTTCTCTTTCTCCATGTGAGATACTTATCCACTTATGACAGCAGAAACAAAGCACTAATTCTTTGAAGATCTATTCAGGCTTCATACAACCTCCACACTGTTACACCAGACACTTACTTTGTCTTTGCTTGGATGTTCCCCTGCTTGCACTTGTGTCGCTGCCTCCTCAGCCAAGACGCACCTTCCTTGATAGAACTCTCTTACTCGGAGCTCTAGGAACTCTGTTTCTTCTTTTAACTTTTCATAACTAGGCACAGGCTTAACTATTCCACCTGAGCCTGTGAAAGGTAAAGAGTAGTTCAGACTGTTTTCAGACTCTCCTACAGCAACAGTGTTGAGATCATCAGCTGTATCTAAGTCATCCTCATCAAGCTCTTCAGTCTCCTGGCTGACAGATGCTACGCATTCTGATGAGCCCAAAGAAGCATAGTTTGGGCCATAGAGAAATTTTAAAGTTTCCTCAGTTCTCCATTCCGTAAGTGTTTGCCTAAGCTCTTCTAGTAAACTGCCTTTAGAATTAACTGGATGCCTCAGTTCAGGGTTTTTATGTTCTGTTGACTTAGCTAATATTCTTTTAAGATGTTCTGCTCCTCTTTTGCTCACACCTAGAAAAACTATCTGTGATCCACATGTATTTTCAAAGATTTCTGAAGCACTTGATTTCCCAGGAGCAGTATTGTCTGAAGGTGGTGCAGTTACTTCATTATGAACAGAGCAAGTGTGTCTTTCTTCCTGAGTGTCTAATTTACAATGAGAGAGTTGTTCAGTGGCTTCTACCACATCTGCATCTTCAGTTTTAGGGCTGGCCTGGACTTTCTGAGCATGCTTCTTTTTGAGGATGCTTTTTCTGTGCAGTTGCTGTGCAAAATTGGCTGAACTTGACTGACTTCCTGGTAGGACAGAAGAAATAAATTCTTGTTCAGTGTCAGTACTGCTGTCACTGGCTGTGTCGTGAGACCCAGATTCACATGGATCTGAAGATATCCTAGGGTTTTCAATATCAGATGCTTTAATTACTTCATCACGTAGTTTCACCTCTTCTCCAGACCGTCCACTACAATAGAAAACACAAGTCATCAGTGAAATTAGAAATGGCTTTTATCTGCAATAGTTTCTCATTCTCATGTAAGAATGATAAACAAAGCATTTTCCCCCTTACAGCAGAAGTGTAATTTATTGCTTTAAGAATCACAAGTGTTCTTCTAAAAGCCTTCTTGAACTCTAAGAGTTGTACTATTCTGCAATCAAAATGACAAGTACAGAGACTATTTAGAGAAGTGAGTTCTCAGCTGATTATTGCTAGTTAGAAGAGTACAAACAAGATATTATTAAAGACAGCAGAACAATGTCAGACTTAGCTTCATAAATAGCGCAATTTAAAAATGATTACAGGCATGCTAACATATATAGGAATATAGTACCCTTAAATCAGGGGGACAGCTGAGCTGTTTCAGCATATATAAGTTTGCCACCTAATGGCAACGTGTTGCTAAAGAAAACAAACAGAAAGTTGCACAATGCACAGCGAGGTACAGTGAGATGACAGAGTAGCATGATTTCATTTTGGTTCATATAGACCTTTTAGATTAAGAAGTACAGAAGCTTTCATCACATATAATTGGCACAATTTTCTTTATAAAGAATAGATGGCATAAAATATTCAAAGTACAAACAGTGTATTTGTTTCAGATTTCAACAGGCTCCATTAAGACACACAATCCAAGAGCAGCTGTACACTAAATCATACAGATCAAATATGCTGGGTTAGAATCACAAAATGAAAAAAACCCTTTGCATAGGCTCTAGTAAGGTCTTTTTTATAACACAACAAATCAAAGATTCCCTTTGCATCTGCTATGATGCTAAAAATTTTAGCTGTAAGTGCATATAACAACAAAAATAAATTGTTCAGTGTACCTCTGTCCCTCCTTCAGCAGCTCTATGTCTGGAGGTCTGGAAAAAGAAAAGAGAATGAACATTTTCCTGCTAAATCTATTGTCTTGAAATACACATGTATACAAAAACAGTTGAGTTTGGAAGGGACATCTGAGGATGTTCTAGTCCAACACCCTGTGTTCAAAGCAAAGCTGGCAAGAGGAGGTTTGTGCACGTGTTCAGGGAGCGTGACTCTTGTGCCTGCAGCACAAAGCTGCTACAGTGAACACAATTTAATGCAGTCACCAAGTCACACAAAGGTTTGTCAGAAAGGACCTCTGGAAGGCTCTACTCTGATCTTCTGCTTGAAAAGCAATTGTCACCAGCACTAGGTTAGGTCAGCCACAAATTCATGAAGTTTAAATCTTTAAAACCTCCCAAGACAAAGATTTCAAAACATTGCTGAGTATCCTGTTTCATTCCACCATAACCTTAATACAGTATTTTTCCAAATGTCCACCCTGAACCATGTGATTATCTGTGGCCATCAACCAAGAATAGTTTGGCTTTGTAATCTTTCTAACTTTTTTCAACTAGCTGTACACTGCTTTCAGATCACCCTTTGACCTCTTCTTCAAACAAGTGAACATGCCAAGATCCTCAGAGATCATAAAGTTCCTATAGTAAAGACAATTCTGGGCTATTGATAGGAAAATGTTTCAATTAATGTAAAAATATGAGTATTCATGATATTTTAAAATTTTACTTTGTTAAAAATTAGGCTGCCAAGTTATATAATTTTTTAAAGAAAATGGTTTTCAAAGGTTTCCAGAAACTTAAAATATTACTAAACAAATTCTGACGAGTTTCTTCCAAACCCGTACTTGCAATTAATCTACTTCAGTTATGAGGCAGCATGATACTCCTATTCCTCTTATCCCATACCAAAAGTTAAAAATCTAATGTATCCTATGATTGAAAGAAAAGGCACTAAATGCAAGTCAGTGTACTAACACCTTTCAGTATGTAAAAGACCCTGCAGGAAGTTGCACCACTCATATCAATAAACTGAATTTGGAAACTAACGGTGATAACGCAGTGTGATTTAAATTATTAGCTTCATATAATTCTTCTTTGGAGTTTTAAGCGGAGGTTGTAGTCTCTTCTGTCAAAGGCATTTCAAATATTCTACTGTGTCAGTGTGTATTGGTGTGTGCACATACATGTGGTTGTGCAAAGAAGTGTAGCTAGCAAAGAACTATCTGGGAGTTTGTTAGTTTGTTTTTAGAAAATAACACCTCCCCACCACCACCCAGAATAAATAATCAACTATGTCAGGCATAAAAGAACTTTTGATGTGAAGAATAAAGGGAGATTTTAGAAACACTTTCTTGAAGACAGCAAAACATTACCTCAAAAACACTGGTAAAATTAAACTTTTAATGAAGAGTCTAGTTTTACCTACTAGAATACCTCAGATCTGATGAGGCTGCTGTAAAGCTCTTCTCTCATTGATCATGTATTTCATATGACACATATAACTGCAACTAGTTTCTTTTGTTGAAACCCAGGGACTATGAGAAGTAGCATCTTGGAGAATGAAAGCTAAGTAAATTTGCTGTACATTCTCTATGCCAGTCTTTGTTGTTCAACAGTGACACCCATTGGCTCCATTGATTATTTGCAAGCCCGTGTTCTAAGATGGGAACATGAACTGCATACACTGTTCCAAAATGTGTATTGCAGGAAGAACAAGAAATAGGCAATCAGAAATTTAGAATGGATAAAAAACTTCTTTATGTTATAGACTGCTTTCAGATGCAAGCTTTCATTGTCTAAGCTTAAGATCAATGCCAAGTGCTGTGCTAAAATTAGAAAATCTCTTTTAACAGAGTAAGATTATTCCAACCTGTTTGTAAAAATTCAATCCCAGTCAGTCCATTTTAAAGTTAATAGGAGTTGACTGTTTTTTCTGACTGGTCTGCCCTCTAAACTAACATGGTCACATCTGCTAAGTAGATGAGAGTAGTACTGAACCATGCCAATTACTGTAATCCATACAGCTACAACACTTTTAAAACAAACACCATGCTAAGCTAACATGTTAACATCAGCTACCTCTGCTTCAGCCAAGTAATTCTGATGAGCTGCAGCTCTTAATTACCACTGCAGATGCATAGAGAAATAATATTGTCAAAAGGTGCAATGAATGCATAAGATTATACTTACTTTTCTTCTTCTCTCATCCACACTGGACTTTTGGAAATTTGAGCTTCAAAATATTTAGATGCTCTATAGCAAAAGTTGCTGCAAAAGCACTGGCAATGAGAGAAAGCAAGGAAACACGACTAAGGTCAACTTTAATACAAAGAAAGGTACAAAGGTAATTTCTTTTAATGCCTGTAAAATTAACTACCAATACATGTTTCTTTTCAAAGCCTATGGCCAGAGTTTTAATCCACCTGAGAAACCCAACCTATGGTCTATCCCATTCTGCACAAGCCACATTTAGCTGCTTCTTTCCTCCCCATTTTTCTGCTTTCTGCACTTTTATTACACACTGAGAAGCAAACCAGTGTTGGATTCTATGTAACAGTAATTTAAAAAAACCCCAACAAACCAAACCGTTCAAAGAGGAACCCATAACCCAATATGCTGTTCACACAGTTTGAAAGACATACAATAAAATTCAAATGTCTAATAATGAAAATTTTGGTTAGCAACAGAGCCTGGTATTTTGTAATACTTAGAACAACACCTAAAAATCTGCAGCATCTTTGAAAAAAAGATGCAAACTTGCATCATGAGGGGAGAAAACAAAGCATCCCACTTCTTGTTGGAGTCTTGCCTGATTGCTCATGAAAGCAATTCCTAAAATTCTGTGTATCCCAGAGTTTTAATCAGAGGAAAGGAAGGCATTCTAGTGACACTGAAGAAATTTGTTCTGTAACTGGAAACATTTATGTTACAATTTAGTGTCTACCTGCCTGTAGGTGATTGTGTATCCTGTGAAATGGCAAAGATGACATGCAACCACATGTGAAAATTAAGAGTTAGGTTTTATGTTGAAAAGTCCTCAAAAAAGAAAGCAAAATGTTCCCCAAAAAATAACACTAAGGGATATGTAAGATGTAACTTGAACTGAATTACTGCAAACTTCAGTGATTGAAAAGAATGTTCACTCTGACCTTACTAAAGCTCACTGACTATGCTGGAGCAAAATAAAGAACACTTCTTCACAAATGCCTTTAGCAGATCAGCTGTGCCACATTCAAACACCTATCCAAGTTAAACTTGCCATCTTATGTTTAAACTTAGAAAACACATGGATTTTGTCTCACCAAAGATATCATCTAAGAAGCGAAATGCACACAAAATTTCAACAGTTTGAGAAAATTATTTTCATAAGAACCAAACATACTTGCCTCTGAATCAAGCCACTATATGAATGCTGTTACAAAATGCATTTCTGATGTTGCCACCATTAAACACATTCTAGAAATACCCTTGTTACCATACCTTTCTTTCAGTGATATCATAAACTCTGTTTGTTTTTGTTGAAATTCTATACTTCTGCTTCGGCACCTAAAATAACATAGTTTCATCAGCAAGACTGTCAGTTCCATCATGACTACAGAGAAAACTTCATTCTTAATTCACATATTTGGGTATGTGCAACATATTCTATTTAACTGAACTGCATACTACATCCCACCACCTTTTCTCTCAGTTCTTGTGATGTTGCACCTTCTCAGATGTAAGAACGGCAGTTTAATCATATACATCTCATCAATCAGTAAAAGGCAGCTCCACAGCTATAAGAAAATCAGTGCTGAACATAAAACAATGAAGCTGCCATGGCAGAAGCTTTCCTTGTGTGTAAGTGCTGAGCAATTAGAGACAGGTCCTCCCTTAATCCAGGTCTATTTATATGCACGTACTGAACTGTCAGACCTCCAGCACAGCACTACCCAGACAAACCCAGAGGAACTTATGCAAACTGTAACAGTTTTGAAATTAACATCTAAGCAAATAAATGAAGTCCAAACCAGTGAATTGTTTTGTACATCAGTAGATTGTTTTCAGGTAAGCACATGTAGCACTGGTATTACATCACAGGTTATCTAACTGACCTCTGAGTTCTGCTTAAGCTCTCACACATCATAACTAAGAGGGGGGACTTTCATACTGACACAGTTGTCATACATTTTCATAGCAGATATATATATGCTTTTACATAACAATATCCCTGCATTGTATTGTTTTTCACTTCAATCTTTCTCATAGACATCTGTTGCTACACTGACAGAAGAACAAGATTTTGAAGTTTTCCCGTTCACAAAGAAAGGCCATGAAGCCACAACTTGTACATCTTTATCCCTGTCAGAACAGATACACAGATTCTGATCATACAGTAACTGATTCTGTCATATAATAATTGCTGTCTGCTGATCAAATTTCACCTTTCACTTTAGAAGGATTATACTGAAATTATACTGAAGGATTATACTGGAATTATATAATGTCCAGCTCCTTACTTGACAGTAATCTGTGCTTAATATTGTAAGTTTAAAATTAAAAGGAAAATGCAAGAGAATAAAAATTGTGAAAAGATTCCTTTGATAACAGCATTAAGGAGAAGCAACTTACATTTTCCAGCTTATTCTGACATAGAGGATAACCACACAGTTTGATGATAGACCGTTCATCAACAACGTCCTTATAGTGAGATGGAGTAATACATTTTCCCTAAAACGACAAGAAAATAGTTCAACAGCAAATACTGGAAAACTTGCCAGTTTTTGTACTCAAAACACCTCTTAAGCATATAAACATCTTAAATTTTCTAACAGTTATCCATTAAGTTTAATAAACAACATTGAGAACATATACAGTAGAAAAGGTAAAAGGGTAAAAAGAGAAGGAAAACAGACCTCAGCATTTCTTTTTTACATATACAAAACCTTCAGTTTTGCCTCTAGTGTGGCACCTATATTTGTAATTTTCCTCTATGTATGTGTTTTGTATGCCTATTAATCAGCCTACTTACAACCTTTACAACCTTATTCTTAAGAATAATCATACTATTCCAGCAAAACTCTGCTGCCAGATAACTGTGGTGCCTTATAGAGACTTTGTGTAAATTTACAGACAGTATAACGTGAACCTAAATTTTCACAGTTCACCTGCCAGTCCAGAACCACAGAGGTATAAACAAAGGCTGTGATAGAAGAGTGAGGATTCATTAATGTACACCGTCCTGCAAAACTAGGGTATGTTTTCACTACAGAACCCTAAAAACATGGAAACTTACCAGAGCTGGTACAAGAGGGAATCAATGGTTTAGCTATTTCAAATTGCAGCAAATTGCTCTTTAAAAAGTACCACACTACGATACAAAACAGTATAAAAACTTGCAACACCTACACAATTTAGAAGGAACTCTTCAGTAATGTCCTCTTCCAGGAGCTGCTCAACAATAGACAATGCTTTTCTCTCACATTCAATCTTGTTTCTCAGTGCAGCCTCCAGATCTGCTTTCCTGTAACAGAACAGACACTGAATGATTTCCATAAACAATTTTCCAATTGTATTTTTATCTTTTTTTCTGAAATACAGCTTATATAATTTTTTTTGTATCACACCATGTTGGCCAAACAAAGCAACAAGTAACTGGACTAGTAATTCTCTTACAACTACAGATATAAAGGGTTATATATTTTATATTGGTTTGCTTTATTTGCTGGTCAAGAAGAGTATTGACTCTTACTATATTGCAACACACTCCCTAAATTTTCTTGCAAGAGAGAAATCCAGAACTGGCTGGACAAAGAACCTGGGACAATTATTTATGGAGTGTTGTCAGGAAAAAAGGAACTGCGTATTCTTTTTTTCTTCCCATGAAGAATGGGAAGAAAAAAAGAACTAGGACATGACTGAATGTGAGGTTACAAAGTAAAGGTAGGAATAAAACAAAAGATTGCCTCCTCTTGAGTGTAAATAATTATAAATGGCAGGTATGTAAAGAAGTTAAGACAGCAAAAAGCAAGCACTACAGACTAAGGAAATACAATTTTGGACGTTAGATTACAAACTTTCAGTATATGACACAATGCTCAGATGTGCATGCTGTTAGAAGTTATAGAGCATCACGCCAAACATGTCCTATGTGATGTTGATGCTGGTGATTTACTGAAGTTAATCGTGGTACTCTGAGAAAGCAAAGCCTCTGCAGCACAGACTGCAATTTCAACATGAGGCAAAACAACACAAATATCACATACTGTTCCTCAGAAACTATACCTCTGAGCAGCATCTTCATTTTTCTGAGCAGCTGAATGCTTATTTCCTAGAAATCAAATATACAAAATATATAAATATAAATATACAAATGTAAAAATTAGTGTACTTTCCTAACAGTGGAAGATGTTGGAATCTGAAAAATATTAAAACCTCTAAACTGTAAGCACAACCAAGATAATTTTTTAGTAATTATTATTGCTTTTGATGGCTGTGATTTCAGTAAGCTGGTATGCAGCAACCAGTTAGATACACTTTTTGAAGTGTGAAAACAGACAGCCCCAACTAATCTCATACTCTCATTCACCATGTTCTGTATACACAAAAAAGGGAAAAAATTCTGTCAATAATTTTGTGCCAGCCGCACCCCCCGTGTCTCTTTACCCAGCTGGTAAAGCCCAGTTTTTCCCCGGCACTCCCCTGCCGTCCCCACAGCTGCCCCACCGCAGGCAGGGCTGTGCTCCGGGCCAGGCCCAACGCGGGCACCGTGACACAGAGCCGCTGTTGCCGCTCTCGCTGCCGCCCAGGACGGCGCCCTGACCCAGCCTCCGAGCCGGATCTCCCGGGCAGCTGCTCCCCCACGACACGGGCAACAGGCAGGGGAGACACCGGGCTGTTACCCTGGGCAGGACGCTGGGTTCAGCGCTCTGACCGCTCAGCTGCACGACCGCCGTCACAGCCCGTCCCCGCCGCTCGGGGCGGGCCGGCCCCTCACAGCCTGAGGGGACCAAGGGTCCCGGCCTCGCCTCGTCCGCCTCATCACGGCCCCGCACCCGGCCCGGCAGAGGTCCACAGAGCCGATCACGGCCGGCCCGCCGCTCCCCTCGGCTTGGCGGGTTGGGCGAGTCCGCCGCTGTGCCGGTCTGGGGGCGCAGGGAGAGCCCAAAGCGCCAGGCGGGGGAGCCGGGGCTGGCGCGCGATCCTGGCGCCCACCTGCGCGCCGCCGGCAAAACCTGCCCGTCCCGGCCGCCATCATCGCCATCGCCGCGGCTCCGCCCGCCGACCTCTCACCCGGGGCGGAGCAGCTGCCGCGGCGGGGCCGGGAGAGGCGGCAGCACGGAGCTGAGGGGTTCCTCTGGCAGGAGCTGAGGTGAGGTGGTGCGGCGCCCTTGTGGCTTTTAATTCTAGCCGTGTGTTACAGGCTGAGGCTGGCAGCCTTTTCGTCCCACCCTGGGTGTTGTACCGCCCAGAGAAGGGGCTGGGGTATCTGTTTATTAGGAGGGAATTTGGTGGGTATTAATAGAACGTTCCACATGATTCAGATGCTGTCCACTTGCCGCTGAAACCTTCTAAAAGATTCAGCTGGAAACCGGATTAAGTATTAAGGTCGGAGACCATCTGCGGGCTCAGCCGGTAAATCCCTGCCACACGGTGGGTGCTTGGGGCGCGTTTCAAGGCTGTGAGTACATTGGGAAGTTACCGAGGGCTGAAAAGGCAACAGTACTGGCTGGCGTTCGAAAGTATGTTAAATTATTTTGGTGGGATTAGTAACATTCTGTAAAATGAAGAGCTTAAATAGTACAACGTGTGGTAAGAAAGTGTGTGGTAATGATCTGGTTAAAATGACAGGCTAGAAAGGATAAGTTTCAGTGACATACAGATGTCAGAGTGGGCCGTGAAGAATAGAAAGTGAGTTGTTTATTCTTTGAATAAAGAAGGTCACATAAAGATGCCTTTTAAGCTTTTGTGAGTTGTCCCCTTATGTGAGCACCTAGATAGGTTCTTTATCTGTGTGTTGTCTCATGTAGGTGTGCTGGTGTTTGGCCAGCTTCAACCCACCACATTCGGTCAAACGTAAGCAGAAAGGCTGAGGACATTGCATGGAGATGCCTGTGTTTTGATGAATAGTTACCTAATTAACCAGGTGTAGAGGTAATTGACAGTCATAGTGATCCTATAACCAGGTTTAGGCCCATGGCATTACTTAAATCATAAATATTATGACTGCTGCTATGATATATAACCAGGCTTGACTGTATTTGTATTTGGCCACGTAAAACTTGGTACATGCTTGACATTACTCAAGTGTATAACTTTGTTGTTTTTAGCAAGAAAGTTTTAAATTTTAGTACCTAGAGGTAAAAGGCCGCTGAACTAGTCCAACCTAGCTAGACACTAGAAAAAATTCAATGAAACTGCATATATAATCTTGACTGGACTGTTGATATAAACTGGCATGGTGTTTGGATCAGTGCCTTCACATCCCAGATATCAGGTTAGTGTGTTCCAGTCAGGGCTGAGCAGAAGCTCCTCTGGTCAGAATAGTCACAGAAAATGTTGTGTGTCATGGGTGTGCACACTTGCTGTGCAGTGAGGCCAGACTTGCTCTGTGTTAGCTGCAGTTTTCCATGTATGTGCCTACAGTAGTCACTGAAACCTTCACACTTCTTAAGATGACCCAGAAAGTACTTGAAAAATTGTTTCCCTGTACATAGAATGCAGGTTGTTTCCTGTCTGTAATTCTGTCTCCTGCATATATGAGGAGTAGAATAATATAGCATACACTTTGTAAAAATGAATTTTCCCTTATTTTATAACTATGCAGTCTTAATATTTGTCTAGGTTGTTCTTATTCCTCCATTAACATTTTTTGGATAATGAAATTATTTTTCAGCCTCTGTTTTAAGTTCGTTTTATAATAAATTTTCATGCCAGAAGAACACAGTCAAACTATAATGGCAGTTGATGAACTTCAAGCCATAATACAAAGATGCGTAAGTAGTTTTCTTTCCTTAGAAGTAACAAGTGTCAGTAGTGTAAGTTTCTTTTCATATATTAGAATTAAAGCCAAAATGACCTCAAAAGACAAGTCAGTTGTGTCAGTTGTTAGTAGAACTTTTCATGGGGCAGCTAAGTTCAGCCTCCATGTTTCATTGACTTTTCTGTGGTGCTTATCCCAAGATGCTTGATTATTTCTGCTTCTTGGAGAAGGAAGTGTTCGTGTACCTAGGAACAAAAGCTGGTAGTTGTAGAAAACACATCTTCCAAAGAGAATGCTGTAGTCTAGACTTAGTGCTATTGAAATACTGCCTTGTCTTCTGCAGTAACTTGGTAGCTTTTTTAGTATGTGGAAAATGTATAAAAGTTACAATGATATTAAATTTAATTTTGAAATGAAAGCATGGATTTTCTTACTTCTTAATTGACTTTTATAAGTATGGAGTTAAACATTCATATTTTCTTTCTAGCAAATTCTGGAAGAAGCTGATTTCAAAGGAGAAGATTTTAATCTGTTTCAGGTAGCAGGTCAGAAATGTTTGGAAGATGGATATGCAGCTCAATTATTAGAAGTTATTCAAAATGAGAAAAACAAGGTGAGTTTAAGTTTGCACTACATATTAGTGTTTATTAACATCATTAAATATAAACCTGCTTATTAAGATGGGAAAGCTGCTTTCTCTGTGGAGCAAGGCTGTACATATGAATAGCTAATAAGCTGCTCTGTGTTAAGTGCACATTATTCTGTATTCAGGTAGCTCACTGAAACCCAAGTCATGGTAATCTTAACAAAACCATTAATAACTGTGAGTGAAGCAAAGAGAAAAGGAAGCAGAAGAAGCATAATGAGGAGAAAGCAACAGTGTCCTGCTTCCACAGGACAGGGGTTTCAGATGGTGTACTGGGTCCAGCTGGCATGGAGTTGGCTTTCTTCATGGCAGCTTGCATAGTGCTGTGTTTTAGATTTGTGACCAAAAAGGTGCTGATAATACACCAGTGTTTCAACTACTGCTGATCAGTGCTTGTGCAGCATCAAGGCCTTCTCTGTTTCTCACTCTGCCCCCAGTAAGCAGGGAATCTGGGAGGAGGCACAGCTGGGACAGCTGACCCAAAGCAGTGAGATAGTCCATACCACACAACATCGTGCTCAGCAGTAAAGACATGTGGATGGGGACCCGTTCCAAAGTAGCTGTTGTTTGGAGGCTGGCTGGGCATTGGTTTCCTCATGGGAGTTGATCTGCATCATTCCCCATCATGCTCTGCTGTCTTTTCTCTTTCAGTTACTACGTTGGCCTTATCTCATCTTCGGGGCTCCTCTGTTTTGCTCTTTTGACTCTCAGCCCTATCCCACTGAGGGACAAGAGCAAGCAAGCAGCTGAGGGGTGCTTAGTTGCTGTTGGGGGTTAACCTACCACAAATGGATATAATAATATTGGCCAGCTGTAGGAGCCAACTAGGCTGATGCTAATTTGAAGTACTAATGTCTGTGGGCATTAGGGATGCTGGGACAATATATCAAATTGAACAGAGATAAATAGGAAGTTCAGAAATAAAGCAAAGGGTAGAATATTTTAGCAATGTTATGTGGGGTTCATAGTCTGGTTTTGAATTTTGTGAGTTTGGAGTAACAACTGAAAGTCTCAATCCCCTCATGAATAATTTGTCCAAGTGTTCTTTCAGCACAACTCCTCTGCTCAGTCCCATTTTAAATGTATTGTCATGGACATTTAGAAGTATATATTGACATGTCAATAATTAGAAGAAAACTCTACAAAATATGCACCTGTGTGTATAGGTATGGGGAGGGGATACAGTGTGTGTCAAATTATGGTAACCATTGCTAAATATTCAGTGGCAGTGACAGTAATGGTTACAGCCAGGACATTGATCTGTTGTTGCTTTTGGTCTTTATATATACAGTCTTTCTGGGTTTAGAAGACATCCAGTTTTGGTTTATTCTCTGAATATCTGGTTTTTAGGTTATCATCAAGAATATGGGTTGGAATCTCATTTCTCCTCTTGTTAGATGTATTTTTATGTATAAACAAGAAGATGATAAGCGAGAACACTGCCTGAGGATACTAGATCAGTTGGCACAGGTATGGTTTTGAAATACATGATTATGATACAGCAATGTTAGGGAAGTTCTGCACAAAAAGGGGTGCTAGATCATTAATCCATGAAGCTAGTACACCAAAGGCCAGTTACACAAAATAAATGTTTGTACAATTTAATTCTGACAATATTTGCATAATGAATCTACATCACTACTTGAGTAAGCTGCTCTGAGTTTAACATTCCCTTGCCTCAGTTTAAGGTTACAGAGAATTCTAAATTCATGGTGTATGTTCAGTGTTTTGTTCAAAGTGGCTCTTTGTTTGGAAGTGGTAGGCTCAGCATCAGAGCCTTTCACATGAAAATGAGCTAAGTTGATCTAAAGGACACAATCTTACCTGAATTAGCTAGCTTGAGTAAAACTTACAGTGCGTTGCTAAATGTGTTTTCCAGTATCTAATTCAAGGTCTCTCCGTTCATGTTCTCTCTTTAGTTGTTTCAAAATCGTTCTGCAAGACCTTGCCATTTTCCACTTATCTCTGTCTGAATAGTATTTATTGTTCTCTTTTCTATCATTCACTTGGAAAAGTATTTTCCTTAAATCATTCACCCTTCCTCAACGTGAGAATCGTTACCTGATGATTCTGATGGAATAGGAGTGGAAAAATGTTTTAACCTGTAAAATCTCATTCTCTTTAATTTATGCACTCCAAAAACAACTTGCAAATTTTATAGCTTGAGTTAAATTCACACTCAAATTCTACTTCTCTCTCTGCCCCTAAGGATCGCTTTGCAAAGGCACTGTGAGGTTTTTACAGCCTGTTAAAATCAGGTTTAGTGTCAGTTTTTACTATTATATGTTTTCAGCTCATATGAAAGTGTACACACATGTATGCTCTACAGTAGATGTTAATTGTAGGCATGTACTTACTGTTTCATATTTGTTTTCTTAAACCTTATCTTGGGTGTTCAGATCTTCTCTCTTGACATTCAGGAACTTCTGTATTGCATGTGATTTATTTTTTTGATTATGACCATGGTTATTTAAAAATATGCATTGTTCCTCTCTTGCAGCTCTGCAATCCAAAGGAACTTTTTTTGGGTTTACTTGAGCAGATTGAGCAGACCTCTGGAGAGCAAGTGTGTCAAACTGTGATGTTACTGCTTCAGCCTTTGCAGACAGGTGGGATTCAGTTTATCAAGTATTTCTGAGTTGAA